AGTTCAGTGTGTCTAAACCACTTGTAATTCGGTGTTTGGGAGTGTTTATAATGTCTTTCATACAGAGGCGCATTTTCATTTTCTCCCATTGACTTATAATGGGGAGGTCGCAAAATTGACCTGACCTTAGGTCATCGATATCAAAATTCTGAGATATACATTTTGTACATGCTATTGCTCTCAGCAATCGCTAAGTTTCAAAGCGATCGGTCACTCGGTGTAGCTACTAGGGTTGACTATTAAGTAATGGAAGTGCCTTAAGCAATTAAACGGGTTTGCACGTGCACACATTATTTAGGTGTCATTTCATGCGCCGATCTTTTTTCTATCCAATGGTGAAGACCACATGTCCCTAGCTACTTTTTGCTATAAGCTATCGTCGTTTTCCCAAGAGACCTCCCGAACCTGTGGCGCACCACCTGGCAATGGCCAAAGCCGCGCGCCATCGCCGAGTGCAAGGTCATTAGAGCTCAGTTTGTCGTAGGGAAAAGGCCTACCAATATCAGAAAATTTATTTTCTAAGTGTATGGAGCGACGCAGCCTCCCCACAGACAATATGTCGGTGGTTTCATCGGGTTGAGAAAGAAAGCGCCGATCAGTCTTCTGGCGGCGTTCCAGGAGTGGGTCAAGACGAGGCTGGAATGGTGTGTGATGCTTGAAGGCGATTATGTGGAGTAGTGTATGCTGTCATTTATCGTGCCAATGTGTATTGTTTTGATGAAAATGTAGATATTGTCCATTATGTAGCCATAACAATAAGCCAATAAGCTCTGATGACCTCGCGCTGGCGCTTGGCGCGCGATTGTGGCCATTGCCAGACTCCTTTTTCATGGTGCGCCGCAGGTTCGGGTGGTCTCTTGGGAAAACGACGATAGCTTGGAGCAAGAAGTAGCTAAGGACATGTGGTCTTCACCATTGGATAGAAAAAACATCGGCGCATAAAATGACACCAAGAAAACATGTGCACGTGCAAAAACGTTTAATTGCTTAAGGCACTTCCATTACTTAATAGTCAACCCTAGTATGACAGACATTGAAAGTTTTTATGAGGTGAGGTCACTTCAAGTGACCTGGTGACCTGACCTTGAATGACCTTGGTCTGAAATTTTCACAACATGTGTAGAATTGATGTATGATAAGGTGTACCAAAAACGGCGGCGATTCGCGAAAAACCACAAGGGGGTGTTCAAACACCCCCCCCCCCCCAGCAGGGCGCGGGTTAAAAGTGAGGAGGCTCAAACTTGCACACCATGTGTAAAATTGATGAGAGAATAGTCGTACCAAATTTAGCGGCGCGTAGCGCCGCGGTTTTCCCGCTATCCGCGAAAAACCTCAGGGGGGGGGGGGGCGGATATCCGCCCCCCCGTCGGTGCGCGGGTTAACCACACTTAAACCTTTTCGCAGGATGGTATCACAGGAAAGCGTTAATTGAACACACTCCCGTATTTTTGTATTCGTACCCCCGGGGCACGAATATAAGCATATCGAAATATCGTGACAGGCTCCCTATAGAAATATCGTGACAGGCTCCATCAGAGCCCGCTCAAGCGAATTCATTACGGCATGATAAATAACGGCTGAGTTCCTAACAACATTTCGCAATATTCGCCTGTGGTTAAATCGAAAATGTAAAAATGACTTATAAAATGACTTAAAAATGGCTTGCCTTTAAGAAGACACCAAATAAGTTGAAATAAGACACCAAATAAGTTGAAGAGAGCTGCAAAAAGCATCGGAAGCAACCTTTACGCTACATATTACATGCACCGTGTTATTCTCTGAAGTAACGTAACCCCGGCTGTCCATAAGCTCGGTAATGGGGGATACCATGACTAGGAACGAAGAAAACTGACAGTTGTTTGCATGGTTTCAGAGAGATCAGCTCTTCGGGAGCTACCACTTAGTCGGTCTGCACTCTGCCTCATTCCCCTTTCGCTTTGAGGAACACGCCTCGCGCTTCACATCCATTCGTAAACGGATCGAGACGAATTAGTGTTTGGTGCAGACCATGCCTGTTTCTGAGCAGAATTTGCATCAGCCAACAGCTCATCCTACACGAAACAATACGGAAAGCATGCTACCCCGGTGAATGTAAACAAAAAAGTGATACCATCAAACGATTCTGTGAAAGGCCGGGAATAAGACGTGAGAAATGACAATTTGTCGGTAACCTAACGACTGTACCTGGTAGAAAACAGACGCCGGCCTCTGGATTATTGAATACGCCCGTGAACCGCTTCCTGCTAGTGACGGTGAAGCAGCAGAATATCGTGACATGCTCCCTCAGAGCCCGTGTACGAGCGATGCGATCGTGCAGAAAATGCGCGGCTTTGTTCGGACCCGATCCTTTGTCCTTCAAACGTTCTATTTCTGCTTAATGGGTGTCACAATTATGACCTCCTGTCAGATTTCAGGAAAGGATCAGGAAATTATTTTCGGGATAGTGTACGTGGAGCTGATATTGTCTTTTTTTCGCAAGGAAAAGGTTGCGCACAAGAAAGCAAACAAAACAGCTAAAACATCGATAAAGCGGTAATTACCATTAATTTAGCGCCTTGATCGTGACAAAGTGATATTAATGACGAAACCACGACCTCCGTACTGGGAGAATAGTTGCGAACATATCCGGATCAACAAAAACAATGGCTAATTCAAGACCTTGTCAATGGGTTGATATTTGGGAACTATAAAGGTCAACATATACCAGACGAATGTAAAACTGCGCGGATACACACTTATGCAGTCGCACCAGGATGTTCAGCTGACTTAAACAATCAATCTGAAGAGCAGAGAGCACTTCCATATCTAAAAGCAGTTGTCGACTGTCGAGTGGCTTAGGTTGTGTGCGGATGGGCCAACTTACGGCGTGACAGGATACACACAGTCGCAGCGATGAAAAAATTAACTACTGCACAGGACGGACTGACATCGCTTTATGGAAGGGTATCGCAAAAATCTGCATCCTGCTTATTACAAACATGACTAACACATCACACATAATCAGTGAATGGAAGCATGGTGTTTACTAACCAGTAAAACGCCTTTTGGGCGAAGAACGAGCGAGCGAGATAGTGAGCCCTGCACGTGCGCAAGGGCGAGAGGGTACTTCCAACGGGCTTGTGCAAAGCACCCTTCTAACCGGTCGCTAGCGGTGTGCCAAATTCGAACGCAATCGGCCCAGCCGTTCCTGAGATCTGGAAGCGGCATTCTGCACGTGCGCACGTGCAAGCGGGGTCCAAACTGCCTTTTGCACGGCACCCTACCAACCGTGTACCAAATTTGAGCGCAATCGGCCCAGCCGTTCTCGAGATCTGGGAGCGCCCCCTGCACGTGCGCACGTGCTGTAGCACCCCAACCTTAACACATGCAGATGAATTATCTGATGGAGACCTAACTGTGTACCGAGTTTCAATTCAATCGGCCCAGCCGTTGTGCCGTCATTGAGGTTGCAATTTTGGGGGTTCTTAAAAAATGTCCAACTTTACCACGCGCCACGTGCGGTGGTTGGCAAGAACGCATGGTGGCCATCACACCACAGAACTTTTACGTCCAAGTGACATTCAGTAAAGAAGACCGCTTGTCAATCGGATGTCCCGTTCCTAAGATATTAGCTTTTGAAGAGCGTCCCCACGGCCGGCCGCTCATACTCAGGATTTTCCCTTAATTCAGTATGAACTCGCTCGCTCGCTGCGCTCGCTCGCTCGTAACAACTAAGAAACACGTGATGCCGAAACACAATATTGTCGGCGAAAGCTATATCATCTCTCATCCATGGTCGAGGGATACAACTTCCGTTCAATATAATGCTCTGTCTAAATCAAAAATATCGTGCCAGTTGGCATATGCGAGGCGAGCAATACCCAAGAGAGCATTCTAAGGAGCGATTTGTGATTGTAGCGCTCTGACCAGTGACTAAGACTAATACTGGATGCCGGTGGATGAATAAGCTGAGAGCATGCCCATTAAACCAACCCTAAATGATTACGAGCGAGCGAGCGCAGCGAGCGAAGTGAGTCTTTTCAATATAACGGAAAAATCTCAGTATGAGCGGCCCGGCCCGGCCCGGCCCAGCCCGGCCCGGCCCGGCCCGGCCCGGCCCGGCCTGTAACGCTTTTGAGAGGCTTATATCTCAGCAACCGCTGGACCGATTGGCCTGCGGTCTTTTTTGTTGGGTAGCCCCATCCCTTCTACCCCGTAATTGACTACTTTTGATACATCTCAGTGACCGCCGTGGCACGTGCCACGTGAAAAGTCAAGGGTGTTCAAGCAGTTTTGCAAAAGTAATGATTTTGAGAGGCCCATATCTCAGCAGCGGCTTGAGCGATTGTCTTGCGGTCATTTTTATAGGGTAGCTGCATCCCTTCTACCAAAGGTCGGATACTCTTCATCTATGTGAGTGACCCCCACTGCACGTGCAAAATACAACAATAAGAGGTGCCAAATTTGTTCCCATTTCAGTAGCTCGGTAATTACTGGGGCGATTTCGCTGAAACTTGGCATACAGGTAGGCACCCACCAGGCAATGCATTCCCATGTGTTGCGGTTAGGGTGCTACTGCACGTGCGCACGTGCAGGGGGCGTTTCCAGATCTCGAGAACGGCTGGGCCGATTGCGCTCAAATTTGGTACACGGTTGGGGACCAGTTAGTAGGGTGCCGTGCAAAAGTCATTTTGGACCCCGTTTGCACGTGCGCACGTGCAGAATGCCGCTTCCAGATCTCAGGAACGGCTGGGCCGATTGCGTTCAAATTTGGCAAACCGCTAGCGACCGGTTAGAAGGATGCTTTGCACAAGCCCGTTGGAAGCATCCTCTCGCCCTTCCGCACGTGCAGGGCTCACTATCTCGCTCGCTCGTTCTTCGCCCAAAAGGCGTTTTACTGGTCTTAGCGGTATGCTTTGTTTATGGGAAGGGGTGTCTCCAGCCACGAGCGTCATCGTTCGTGGCTGGAGTCCACCCCCGCCGTCCATTACCGCCGAGTCTGCTCGGCCGTCCGCCCTCACCTTGAGCTGATTGAGTTTGAGCAGTTCGCTCTCGGTCTCGCCACCGAGCACGGTCAGGATGCGCCGCTGGTTGTTACGAGCCTCGCGCGAGATGGAGGCGGCCGTGACCGCCTTGGAGCGCTGGTCAGGCACCGTGGAGCCCTGGTCGGTGCGGCCAGCGGCAGCCGCCGCCAGCGACGCCTCCAGCACCGTACGGCCGAAATGGTACTGTGGGGAGAGGCGACAGATGGCGTTAGCTGGACATGGTACGGTAATACGACAGGGTGGCGTTAGCTGGATCTGGTACCGTAATACACGTGTCAGATGGTGTTAGCGTGACCTGACGTAGGTAATGCTGCGTTAACTCGATGGTTAGCGTCAGCCTGAACCTGAAGACAAAGATTATTGCATAAAAGGCTCGATCTGTGGATTAAATTATGACTAAGAGGAAAACAAACGAAAACTAATGTGTTCATCAGGCAGCATTCCCGAACGAGAACTCTGGGTAATCTCTGACCGTTCCATGCTTCTATCCTCAGGAAACTGAAATCCTTCTCCTCCATGCCGCAACCCCCCTCCGGGCTGGACAGGCAACTTTATCTCATGCGGGCTGCTCCCTTGGAGCGGCACCGCTGCTCCCGAGGGAGCGCACCCCGTAGCCGGGTGCAGTGAGTGCCTTGGGGCTGGGTGGCCTGTCCTCTGGACGGGCTCAGCCCCGGCGACTCACTAGGGTGCCTGCCCAGACCAATGTCTCCCCATATATCCTATTATCCTTCCGGCTCTGAAATGGTCTTAATGGATCGAAAGGGCCTAACCCAACAAAACAAACAAACAAAAACGGTAATCTCTGACGAAATGAGAACACATTCCGTCCTAATGTGCACTGCAGCCCGTCCCGACTCACCCTGGTTTTGAGTTTGTCTTTGCGCGACACCTTGTAGAATCCCTCAGTGCGGGCTGAGCCGGTGCGGTGCACGGGCAGGTCGCCCACCTTCCTCCTCTTCTCTGGCCGGTCTGTGGCCGGGTGGTCCACCCAGTGGGTGTCGTTGAGCCAGTAGCTGTTCTGGTCGTCCGCCAGCAGACCCTCATAGCACCGGTGCAGGTAGTCGATATCCTCGGCGGAGAGGCCGCGCGTCAGGAACTCGTACAGCAGAGCCATCTCGGCCATGACCTCGCGTTTGGTGAAGCCGCGCAGTCCGGCCGACAGCTCGGCGACCTCCCGGCGCCGCTTCCCTGCCCGGCCGGCGGGGGCGGGGGCGGCGGCGGGGGCGGGGGCGGCCGGCCGCGTGTAGCCGTGGTCCTGCAGCAGCGCCGCCCGGATATCCTCCGGGGAGGGTGTGTCGGCGACTGGTGCCGACGGCCGGCAGTAGGAGTGCTCCTCCTGAGACAGCAGGGCGCGCCCGGCCGGCGAGCGGCCCGGCGTGGTCGGCAGGGGAGGCGACTCCAGCGACAGCCTGTGCGACAACACATACTGACCGTCAGAGGGGGAGAACCACGCAGGACACGCTATACATCAAGACCGACAAGTCGTTACGAAACCCATCCAGGAATGTTCGAAAGAGCTGCTTCTTTACACGAGACCGTTAGTGAACATGAGGAACAATGAAAGGTGTTCGAAACATTTGCGGCACGAAATCGACATACAACGCCACTGCAAAGGCAGACGAAAGACACGATTGTAGGACCGAAGCTACTCAGCCCATTAAATGAATTATGAAAAGTACAAACACCAAGCCAGACGTTACCGTTACTCCAAACGGAGAAACATGAATCGTGCTTTTCACTTATAGGATCTACTCCAAAATGAGTTCATCTGATGAGTAAGACACGTTTCTCGCCCACAGCGCACTCACCGTTTCCTTTCATCATCCTCAGACACCGACAGCTTCGGAGCGAAAGGCGAGCGTTTCTTCTCCTTTTCTTTGACCGTCTCCGGCTCTGATAACGAAACACCCTCGTCTGATTTGGTCTCCTTCGAGATTTTCCTACTCTTCTCCTTATCCGCTTTTGTCGACACCGGTTCATCCTCTGCTTCACTCTCGCTCTCACTGCTGCTTTCACTGCTACTGCTACTCTCGCTGCTACTGCTGCTGCTGCTTGTACTGCTGGAGTCGCTCTTTGCCGCCTCCTTCTCCTCCTCCTGGTCGCTCTTCTCCGACATCTGTTCCTGCTCCTCCTCCTTTTCATCCTCCTCACTGGAGGTACTGGGCAGACGGGGCCGGGAGCGCGGCTCAGCCGGCTCCGCCCGACGCTGCGGCTCCGGCTCTGCCTCCGACTCTGACTCAGCCTTGGCCTCCGGCTCGGCCTCGGAGTCGGAGTCGGGCGGCGCCTGACTCGGCTCGTCCTCCGGCGGAGGAGACGGACGCGTCTTCTTCTTCTGCGGGGAGACGAGCAGGTAAGTCGGTAGTCAGCTACTAATACAGGCAGGAGCATCCGTGCACACGCTTTTTACAATGAATTTCTACTAGGTAATTAGTGATTTTCCACCACAAACACATGACTGACATGTTTTTGCATCCATGGGAATTCTAGCGGAGGCTGTCCCTGGATGTAACAAGCTCAAGCCCGGTAAAATCCACAATGTAGTCACCATCGACGGTATCCATGACGTCAGCTCATTCAAGATGACTGTCTTTATCAGAGAACAGACAGGTTGAACAAAATAATGTCATGTGGCATTGAAGCCACCTACCTTACACGAGCCAATCGACAAATATCCCAGGTTGACCGACGCCCGGCCCCGAGGGTGGTCCATCACCGGCTCTACCTCTCTGCCATCACTTACCCGGAAGGAGGGCATTTTGGGCAGGGCCATGCGGAAGCCGAGGCCGTAGCTGGAGCCGGCCAGCGAGCCGCGGTTGCTCTCCAGCAGCGACATCAGGTCGGCCCGCTTGGGCGCCGGCACGGCCGGGCCGCCCGTCCGGGTCTCCTGCGCCTGACGGGGACGGCGGGGCACGGTCACAGACGCGACGGGCAGGGGGCATTCGGTAACAAGAGAGTAACAAGAGAGTACTATGGAATGTAGCCACTAGCCACCGATAACAGAACGAACTACGTTGGTCACAATAGTGAGTTAACTTGTATCAGCGTTCGCAATAATAATTGCATAAAATCTACAGTGCGATTTAGATTTGGTATCAACCGTCATTTATTTATTCTATCAACAATAATTTTGTTAAATTGATGGATTTCAATTACGCAAATAACCACCAAGAACCAACAGCCGTAATGGAGGTGCAAAAATAGAACCCTAATTTTCCAGAAAATACCTGCCAAAACGTTCCACTTGAATAATGACCACACAGCTCCAGGCCCGTTTACCTTATGCTGTTCCGCCTGCTCGTCCCACCATTTCTCGAACAATTTGTACGCGGTGTTCTCTATCATTCGCTTATTGAAGTCCCTCTTCAAAATTTGTTTCAATTCTTTAACAACTTGGTCTAAGGAATGCCTGTGAAGCGGAAATACCGTCAGCTCACAATTCCACAAAACGATTAATCTCCTTGAACAAGGAAAACGTCCTGATATGATTAAAATAATTTGACCCAATGAGCTAAACCTAATCCTATTAGAAGTAAACAGACGTGACAGGTCTTAAAAACCTCCGTTGCAGACGATATATGAAGAAGACACATAATCAATCTTTGCGGAAACATGAAAGTTGAGACAGTTTGTCATTATTCCCACTCACGGCCCCTGCCCGTGTCCTCACCCCACCACCCTGCCAGTTCTCCCTGTACTCACTGCGCCACGGCCTCTGGCGTGAGCCGTTCGGCCTCCACGGGTGGCGGCGCGCCGTCGTAGTCGGGCGGTGGTGGCTCGGCCGGCACCGGCGGCGCGCCGTACGCGTGGTAGCCGGGCGGCGGCGGGTACGGGTACACCCAGTCGGGAGGCCGCCAGCACGGGTAGCCCGGGTCGTCGCCGTCCGGCGGCGGGAACGGCGGCAGCGGCGGCTCGAACCCGGGCGGCAGCGGCGGCGGCGGCGGCGGCTCGGGCGCGCCGTTCACGGGCGGAGGGAGCGGCGGCGGCGGCGGGGGCTCGGGCGGCTCCCGCGGCCGCCGTCGTCTTCGGCGGCGCCGCGTGCGCGCGCTGTCGTCCACATCGAGCACTCCGAGCCGCCGTCCGAGCTCCTGGAGCGAGCGGAGTCCCTCCAGGGAGCTGCGCTGCCGCTGCCAGCTGGGCCGGTCGGCTCGCAGCTCTGCCAGCCGGTCACAGGCCAGACGGTGACTTTGCAGGTAGCTCTCCCGCGACAGAAATGGCGACGGCGTGACGCTGAGCGGAGGCGGCGGCTCGTCGTCCGAGCTGTGCTCCGAGTCACTCATCGACTCCGAGCTGGCCGCCTCGCCGCCGCTGTCCAGCAGCTGCGCGAACGACGGCGCCAGGCTACGCTTCGACTTGTGCTGCAGCAGCAGGGCGATCCGCGTGTCCAGGTCCATCCTCTGGCCGGAATCCTCGCGGCCAAACGGCACGGCCGGCGGCGGCGCCACCACTGCCGGCACCCGCGCCGGCTCCGGCTTCGGCTCCGGCTCGTGGTGCTCCGGCTCCGGCGGCTCGTGCCGCTCCGGCTCCGTCCAGACGGCGAGCGGGTCCTCCCGGGCGGGAGGCCGCTCCTCCCGCGGCACCGGCCGGTCCTCCAGCAGGTCGTTATACATCTGACGGACCTTGGCGCCTGAAGCACAGCGACAGTAACATGAGTAACAGGTCAGGCTAGGGAAACATAAGAGCACATATTACCATATGCATCACCAGCATCACTTATTTGTGAGCGTAGTGCTAACTGCTACACGCTGTGTCAGAACGCCATTAAAGAACTGTCGTACTTGAGTACAGGGCCACCGTCACAACAAAGAGTAAATTTGACGTCAATTACGTGGCAGTTAATCGCTTTTCATACCACCAAACAACAGAAAAATATTGTCCTTTATACGAACCAAAATACAAGGTGGGGTCAGAAAATCGCAAAAGCACACTCACCAAACGGGTCCAGGAACACACTGAGCACCTTGCCCATAACAGACTTTTTGTTGAGCGTTTCCACGCAGGCCTTGGCGCCCTGGACGAACCGGAAGACGAGCTGCGCAAGTCCCAGGTGTTTGTTGGTCCGGGGGTGGTAGAAGATCATCAGCTCGTCCAGCTCGCCGCATTCGTGCACCTGCACAGGGCGGCCGCCGGGGTCAAATGGTGACCCAAGGATCGACCCAAGGATGGTTGGGGATAGGTATTATTGGAAAACATATCAAAGTCAAAGGCGACAGATAAGAACAGCCTTGAAGAATTGAATTGAAGGATTGAAGAAGAAGAAAGAACACCCTTTATCGATGTTTTCTGAATATTTGTGCAGTCTCTAGCAAGCCCTCCTCTCCTGATGAATCGCACCCACCATTTCGGCCAGAAACGCCTTGTCGATGTTGTCGTTTATGTTTGTGATCGACACTTCCAGCGGCGGCGGTGCTCCCACGTAGTGATCATCGATCTGCGAAAAAAACCGGTATCGAGTGACACAGAATGTTTTACATGGAAATATCGCGATATTTACATCACGTTCGCACCAAGCGATTCACATCTGGGAAGTTCAATGCTTGTTAAATATCCACAATCAACGAAAGCACCTGAAACATAATATTAGGCACAATGAGTCCACAATGCCAAAATTCTGGTCGCATTTTGGTCGCACCGCAGTAGAGCAGCACTTCATCTAACGGCCACCTGCATCCTCCTGCAAAAACATCGCGGACCCGCTCGGCTTCGCTCCCGCTGGCGAATACGTACCCGGAACTTGGGCACGGTGAGCTCGGTCGCCTCAATACGCGACCGGATGCGTGTGAGCGCCGAGCGGGGGTCCCGCACCTGCACCGTCGGGTACGTGGAGTCGTTGGGCACCTTGCCGTCGTACCTGTGCGCGCGCCACAGGTCAGTCAGCGCTCACAGGGATCGGTGAATACATAGTGAGGTGTTCTATGGTCTACAATAAATAGCAGAGCACAACAAACCATTGCTGAGAGAAGAATCTTTTCAGGTTAAAGGCACCAACAATCGTATGACAGCATACTAGGAGCACATTGGCCCTAGGTAAACATCATCAGCACATGTCATCACCTGAGTATTTTTGCAGCACCCTTGATGATGCATGGATCTGAAAGCAGCTTGAATGCCTTAAATTTTGGGAGCTGAACATGCCTGTCACTGGCATTATGCATTTGCTGATGTGGTGCATGTTGTCGTCCATGATCATTTATTCCATTCATACCAAGCTATCTTGAGAAATCTGAAATAGAGAAACAGCATGAAAATTGAAAAGAGAATCACATGGTAACAAAAGCTAGATGACAAAACTCCTTACATCTGGGAATAATTGCCCTTGTATTTAATCTTTAAAACATTTTTTTGGAACACATATACTAGGGTGGCACTTAGCAATAGGGTGAATTTTATGTTATCCGATTTTTAGGCGTGCGGGTAGTTTTCTGGTTCCATTCCCGTAAAAAATAATGTGTGCAAAATTATTTTGAAAAATATTGATATTTAGGGGTCGCGAATTGAGGTCAAAGTTGGCAGTTTTGGGGAATAAATCAACTTTTTGGAAACTACTTTAAACCTATTTGGAATGACATATGTGGTCATTAAGCGTCATATCCGACGTATTTTGACCTTTATTTGTATAACAGTTGCTTATCCCATCACTTCCGGTCGATCGTAGCCAGTCCAGGTCAGGCCAAGACAGGTCTGATCTGGGCTGTTTTACCCATGTCAGGCCTGTTTTTGGCCTGCGACCGGTGCCTTCTCACAGTGGAGGTCATATCCTCTTATAAGTGTGAGGAGTGAACGGTCTCTCCTGTTCCAAAGGGAGGACGAGCCCCACAGTTCTATCGGTTCTTGAGACATGCTCCTTTTCTGTCAAAGAGAATGTGAAGAAGTTGGAGTCAGCCTATCGCCGGCGGGGGAAAGCAGAGGCGAGAGTGGGCATTGAGCTGCACTGGTTTATTGTGCTTTCGGGATGTTCTTCCGTGGGCGCTTCTTCCGACTCTACATAGTGCCAGTGCCAGCAACAGACTTACCCGGCCGTTGCGGCGCGCACACGGAGGGAACGTCTTTGACGATGGCGACCATGAGAGAGAAACGTCGACTCACACTCCCAAGCGCATGCGGGCGAGCGGACGTCCCCAACAGTGAACTGGCCTCGACCGGGCCAAACTGCCCAACCGTAATGTGTGAAGAACACGTGAACCAGAACCTGTTATCAACTGCGGCACGGAACTTCTGATACGACTCCGGCTGAACCGCGAGAGAAGGAGCGTCGACCGATTCTAGGTCCTGGTGATTGGGGGGGGGGGGGGGGATTAGGGTGGCCAAGCTCCTCACCGTTCCCAAACTCCCCTCCATACAAGCACAGGAGGCCATGCTCACAGCGCTGGGGGGCTAGGAACTGGAGAAGCGGAACTGCGGCCTTTTGCTTCGACGCCACGACGGTGAACAGCATGCTGGTGAACGGTACTTTAGCCCTTATCGAGCAGAAGCTGGATCGGCCCGTCCTCCAGCTGGCCTGCCGGCACCACGTGTAAGAGCTGGTCCTAGAGAAGGCCTGCTCCACCTGCCGTAGAATCTCGAGCGGCCTCTACATCCGGCTGTTTAAGAGGTTCAAAGGCGGGTGGGAGTTCATGCTTCATTGACAGGATCACACCGGTGGCGTTCGCCGTCGACGACGTTCCGGAGTGGGACAAGCTGCTGGTCAGCTTCCATCGCTTCCATCGCTGGACTATGCCTAGCTCCGGGAAGACTACCGAAAACTTCTGGAGCTCTGCGTAACTGCTCTCGGTGGAGTTCCAAGCACGGCATCCGTTTCTCCGCCTCAGAGTACTCCACTGAGTTAGGTGGATGGCAAAGACCATCCGTACCGTGGATGCCTTCCTCTTCAGGGAGCGGCTCCGGCTGACGGCGGCCGAGGCCCAGGTCATCAGACGCTGTGCGCTCGCGCTGTTCGTTGCCTGCAAGTTCGCCGCCGCCGCCGCCGCCTGGTCTGGGACTCTACTGCCACTGCGCCCGCTCTGGACCTGACCTTCGTGAACTCGTTCTGCACCTACCCCGACAAGGAGCTGTCGAAGGCGACAGTCCCGGTCTTCGGCCGTCACCTGTAGTAATTGAGTGATCGGCTGGTGACTCTGGAGCTTTTAGACCCCGACCCTGGGCTCAATCAAGACATGGTGCGGGCAATAGACTTGTAGGAGAGGGGACCCGCCCCATAAGTCCTTAGTGGGCACTATGAACGCCGCTCTCGCGACCGAGACGTTGGCGAGCTTCCTCACACCATCGTTCAAAAAGCTCTCAAGGATACACGACCTGGACGCGGGGCTCATCATCAATGACCAAGGCCACTGGGAGGACAGCAGCTACCAAACCGCAGCTCGTGTAGTCCGGGGGCTGCGGGTGGTGAATGACTTCACCAGGCGCGGCATGGCGCTGATGTAGGACTGGCACTCATGGAAGACAAAGATTAGCGCCAGCTCTTCCTCCATGTCGTTGAAAAGATCACAGAAAACGCTAACCTGACACCCGAAGATCGACTGCAATTGCTAACCAGGCTACACACAAAGTGATCTGGGTGCCCGTTGCCCATGATACCCCTCCCTCCAATGAGGCGCCAATAATTTACTAAAGAGGAGGAACTGGAGTAGTGGAGTTCTGAGACCAGCGTTCTGGCGTGGCCGAAGCTGCATGGAATATCAATAAACAATATGAAAATGACTAAGAAATGCCTTATTATCATCCGATTATAGCGTAATAGGAAACTGAGAAGCGATTTTAATGATATTGAAATATGCTACCAAAATCTCAATTTTGACCTTGTTTCGCGACCTCTAAACATCAATATTTTCCCATAAAAATTTGCCTCCCTTATTTTTTACGGGAATGGAACCGGAAAACCACCCGCACGCATTAAAAATCAAAAATTGATTTTTAAGTGCCACCCTAACATATACACAACATTTCTACAACCAAATCCCACAGATGTTACCCCATGATTTCCATTATTGAAGAAGACTTTTGACTATCATTCTAGTTCATTGACAAATACCATTCTAAAAAAAAAATAAAGCTCATTTTACTAATTACCTAACAATAAAAATCAGACTGTTTTGACAAGTGCCTATGTGCACATATTTCACAACATTCAGCACTTTCCATAATCCATATCTTCTCATTGAATTCCTGTGAAATGAATAGCAGTTAAAATATAATGATTGTGCATAATAAATTTCATAGTTTTGGTCTGATGGGTCCAATTTCCTAGTTGTACATAAACATCATTGCCCATTCTTTTTTAATAAAAAATTAAGTCATGCCATGTAAAACTAAGATTTTATGTAACATGATCTGTAAACTTACATGATTATGATGCATTTTTTTTGTATTTTTCATTGCAAGGCTTTTCAGCAAAGATCATAAGACTAAGAATATTGCCCCTATGCCACTATGTAAGGAAACAGCCCCATTGCAAATGTGACAACAATGAGACAAGCGGGCAGCAGTTCACACTGGTTGCAGTTTACACACATGCATTACCAATGATTCATGAGACATTAAGGTAACCTTTATAAGTTAATACTGCAGTTATTTTCAATAACATTTAGCATGTACCTACCTATTCAAGGGAAAATACTATTATCACTCATTTAAACCTAGTATTGCCCATACCCATTTCAAATAAAAATACACAAAAGTGTTCAAGATATGCACCTGACAGACTTACAAAAAGGCAAAACTGACAGATTAATTACAATCAAGTAAGTACTGCAGATCATAACAGCTATATTGGTTCAATTCTAGTAGTGTGATTGCCAGTTTCCAAATAAACCCTTATCAGTAACAGTAAAGGAACAATCCAAGATACGTCTCATTCTCCGTAAGTTACCACACTATCTACATAACCTTCAAAAGAAATAAGCAATCACCCATACATAAAATCTATCATTTATGATAAACTGTGGCACCAGTTCTACATGCAAACTACCTTCATCTCGCAAAAGTTATAGCTTACAACTTTAACGCCAAGCAATAGCCAATAATGAACGTTATCCAAAACCGAAAACACTATTTCATTAAAAAAACAATTTCACGTTTTTCATCATGTGGTAAAGCAAAGCTGAGCTGGCTGATTGAATTAAATCATTTGTTCAATTAAAAAAGATTGGACAATCTGAATCACCAAGCGAATGCTGCACGATGATACACTTTTAACCTATAAGCGTCTTGCTCGATAATAATCGATAAGTTGATAACTTATGTCAATCATTCAAATTTAAGTGATTAACAAATAGCTAGGGCACAAAACAAACGAGAATCAATGATAAAATAACAGTAATTACATTCTAACCCCACCACGAACCCCAGAGGCGTGCGCGTCATTATTGAGCATTTGTTATCTATTTTGTTATTTTATCTATTTTGTTATCTATTTGTTATCTATGCATGAGACTATAATAGCTCCGTCGCAAAATCACCCGAAGTCGGTGGGGTTCGAACCCACGCTCCCCATACGGGGAATCCGATTTTAAGTCGGACGCCTTAACCACTCGGCCACGACCTCTGCAACAAATACTTTTGCAATCGCTAATTATAATTTATTGTTTATCAAGCCCTAATGACACTCGTGTTTTCCAAGTAGAAGACAATAACCAAGAGCGACATATTATTATCGGACATCATAGAGTTCAGTGTATCGGACACAGAATGCGCCAGTTAGGAAGTGCGCAATGTTAGGCAGCATATGAACGAGAAACAGAGAGATGCCGTAACTAAATAAAATACAGGTAACGATTTAAAATGTCAAATAAATAAAAATGATAGAGTAATTAGGATCTCAAATATCAGCAATGGAAAAATCACCTGTGTTGATGCCACTTTGATATCGGACCATGAAATGAAAAATAAAAATGGTTAAAAGTTGATTTTTTTTTTGTCAAAAGGGTAGCCAAGTGACACTGCATTGCATGTTCCGGTGCCCTTATCGAAATTCAGTGTCGTAACAGTGCATTTTCAAATCGAAATTGATCTTATATGTATTCAAACTAAAATTCATCGGTTGAAATCCGTCTGATACACGCTGTGACTGCTGATGCAAATACAAAAAAAATATAGCTTCTATTTAGTAGCAGCTTCCTTATTGCTCATAAGTTGCAACTCTTCTAAATTTTCATTACTGAAACGTACCATAGGTTGTGGAACAAGCTAAAAAGGAAAATCAAAACTGATGTAATTTTTATTCAGTTATATTCACGGCAACAGACAATTCTGGGGGCGTAAACGTTGGCACCGTTGACTTTGATGCTCTTGCGCCAATAATTTGATATGCGTACGCCACTAATATAGTTTAAAATTTCATTGCGTTTTATAGATAATTACCCCGAAAAAATTCAACTGTTTGTTCAGGTGAACAAAGAAAATAATTCTTTACGTTGATGCTGAAAACTGTTCCCATAAAGGGCTCGCATTACATATAAGCAGTTTTGCAAAGCGAAGTGGCGGCGTCAGCCGGCGCCCAAGGCCGTGAATCCGGAGCTTGTGGATTAGGATTGTGGGAGTGGTTTCGGAATTTCGATGAGTAATTACTTTCTTTAAAAAAGAAGAGGGGAAGTTGGGTGATATTTTACGAAATTGTGAGAGTGGTTGTTAGTGCTTTAGTGTTGCAGCTGTCGGATTATGGCCCAAATTCTACCTATTAAGTTTCAGGAGCATTTGCAGGTCAGTGCTTTTCGGTGCCGGGCTTCGCTATGACTCATACTATGTCATTTTTTCTTTGATAATTCTCTTATTTATCATTTTTAATTTAATAGTTTTATCAAAAATGCATAGAGATATAAGGTAGGTACAAGTTCAGAGTAATGCGTTTTTGCTTTCCATCACAATCACGAATGATATTCATCAATGATTGATTGCCAATTTTTTTAGTTTATCACATGACAGTTCATTTACAGCACATGCTGCATATTACTATTTGAAGAACCTAAGTGACATTGCAGAACTGTTCACATGTCCATGGTTTATATATGCTTGTTGGTGTTGGTGATGTGAGTTGACTTTCCCAACCATTTTATTAGCTGACAATGTGTTTTAGCATGGATTAAGTATTCCTGGTTGGGACACTGGTGATTTTCCGACCACGCTGACGCATGACAGCGCCATTTAGCATTGCATGCTATGGGCAGATTGTGTAATGATTCTGTGTGTGGCGTGACTAAATCGAGCCATAATAATTATTAGAAAGGAATAAAAATATGGTTAAAGTGTCTGAAATCATGTCTTATGAGCTAAAGCTCGCAAATTTGGCTCTCCATTACCACGTTTTCAGCATGCACCCCAGTGCACTTGCCACCGATGTTTCGGCGCTCTGCAGCTAGGGGGGCTGCTTGGTCGCCGGCTTTAGTGTTGGGGAATAGGGAGTGTCCTATCCAGGAATACTTCATCCATGGTTATAGCCACTGTGGGTGGTGTTTTGATGCCAGATACCGTTGTAGGTTTGTAGGTTTGTAGGGTAGGTTGTAGGTTTGTAGGTTGAAGGTAAGGCTAGGTCAGGCAGGTCAGGGTAGGTTTGTTTTGGCCTATATATCTCAGTTGTCCCAATCTGTCATCTTCCTGGGATGCCAGGCTTACTAATACCACAGCAACATAGGAAGTGACAGCTGATGTTAATACAATTTTAGGAGATGCAATCATTGGTACCTACCATTGTTATTGATTGGTTCTTATTTAACTTTACTTACTTTGAAGTAGATTTATTAGTGATTGTTTCTTATGCCTCTCTTACTGAAAATTAGGTAGTTAATAGATATGGAACTTTGACAGTTTACATGTCTTTCAACCCGCGCCTCACTGGGGTCTGTGTATAACACGCCCTACTGGGGGGGGGGGGGGGGCTATTCATAGCCCCCCCTCCTAACTCCGAAACTACTGGGCCGATCGTCAAAATTCAAACAGCGTCTGATAGCCCCGGAAAAACTGTCGAGCGAAACCCAATTTTATTGACCTCGAGGTCACCGATGACGTCACAGGTCAGGTCAAAGTAAAAATTATTAGCATTTTGGCTTATTCACATTTTGGGCTCTGGCCGCCGTCTTGCAAGTCAGATCAGGCTCATTTTTGGTTTCCACACTCGTGAACAGATGCTCTAGATACCCTGAGGGTACCAAACTTGTACTTTGATTTTCAGGTCACGGTCAGGTCATCACAGGTCACGGAAATATGATATCATGCGTCGGTCACGTGACACATGTTTTATGGTTCATTTAGGCCATAGACTTCGAATTTGATGTCGTCTGTGTCATTCGAGGTCATTTTGAGTCGAATTTAGCTTAGGTCAGGCCACTTTCAGGTCAAAAAAGGTCAAATTTTGAAGTTAAAATTTTTCAACAAAAAAGGTGTCTATTGGATGCAGTTTGAGCTCAGGAACACGATGGTGCCATTTATATATGTGTACGATGTCAAATACGTACTGAAAAATTGATTTGAAAAATTAATAATTGTGAATTGTTTGCAATAATGCGTATAACTTGGCCATTTTTGAAGATATTTAGCTGAAACTTGCTAGAGTTAGTCATAATCATGCATTCTGTCACATATATTCCGTTTTTTTTTCGAAAAGTCAAAAACTTTTTGAAAAAAATATAAAAATATAAATTTTGAATATTATTATATAAAATTTTCAAAATTTTCAAAATTTTGAAAATCCGAGATAGCAGTTTGATAGCGCGGTCAATTCTGAGTTCTTTCATGCAAAGAAATTGGATCTAGCTTAAAAACTGAGCTCATGGGAGCGATTGCCATGGTTCAATGTTTTGCGTCGAAATCGGACGAACATGACGTCACTCTGACGTCATTTCCGCCCGACCTATGGGAGCTACGCAGTTCAAATTTTGACACAAGGTGTCAAATTGATACAACTAAAGGTACTGAAAGTTTGGCGCCGATCCGTCAAGCGGTTTGGAAGCTATTGCAGAAAAACGGGAGGGGGGGGCTATAAATAGCCCCCCCCCCCCAGTGGGGCGCGGGTTAATGTGTGTTCCAGTCAAGATGTTTTTCTTGGGATTCTCCTTATCTCTGTGTGGTCAGTGGTATCACATTAGGGGAGCTACAGCTAGCTAGCTGAGAGGCTGTCCAGGTGATTGAAACTGGTTGCTTGTCATTGTGTGCCTTACTTTATCTTACCTTATGGTTACTGTAGTCTTTATACTACCAGATTGGCACATGTGATCTATGGGTTCACTCCAGACTTCTGGCAAAATGTTCATCTGTAGCTCTTGTTAGCATACATTATTATTGCATGAGAGGGTGCAGACCTGTGTCCATCTTTTGCTCCTAATTTACCAAGATATTTCCATAAAACAAGCATATTTGCTGTTAGCAGATGCCAGGTTAGGAGATGTGAGGGGAGCTGGCACCCAATTTTGAGATCTGGAGGTCAACCAGTGATTTCCGAGGTCAATTCAAAGACCCTAAGATAGGTGTCTGATTATTGGTAAAGAGCTTTCATGTCAAAAATGATTGCAGAGCAGCAGACTTCTAGCACCATCATGTTTGTCATTCTAAGGAGTGTTGAATAATTTACTTGTTGTTGGGAAGGCCAACTTATGTTGACCCTAGGGAGTAGGGGCAAGGTCAGGACTCAGGACTCAGGTCAGTGCTATCCTGGGTGAGTTGGTCATGAAGGTGGTTGAATGAGACCATCTTAATTTGACAGGTTTTATTGAGTCCTTTGGTAGCTGCTTTCCTGACTTGTTTGATGATCAATTTGATTAAAAGTTGTTTTCATATTCATTTCTGATGGCCTAAAGATGCCTCTGATGATAAAGAAAAAGATAATAAAGGGAAAGATAAATGTATCTGATGACCCTAATGATCTCATGCTTGATATCACATAAGGTATGCATAGTACCTGGCAAAGAGTGTATGATATCATGTATCCATGTGCTTGAGGAAGATCATTTTTGGCACCAGAATGACAGGTTCTTTATTTCCCCATTGACCTAATAAATGGTGAGGTCACATGATGATCCTGACTGACCTCAGGTAACCTAATGCAAAGTTCGAGATATACAAGCTGTGGGGTCTGAGGAGTCAGTTTTTCTATAGGTATATCTTGAGAAGAAAAATAAATATTGAAAATAGATAAAAATAAGATAAAGTAAGAAAAAACCTGACACTGAGGGTGTCACAGAGTTGCAGCATTTTATACCTAGTAGTGGTTCTCTTATGTTGTAAAAGTTGTACAGGGCAACCAGAGTTATCAATCTCCTGAATGCTATTACAGTTAACCAGAACGGGGGTCAAGACTCTCTAGGCGACATGCAACTTAACTGGTCAAGTGGTTTTCACCAATGAATTAAGGATACATTAAAATGAGCATATAAGACAACCTTGATTTACTCATTTTGACGTTGTGACCTGTGACATGACCTCGTAGTTGTGACTTCATCGTAGTGTGTTAAGTCATTGTGTGCTAATGGTCACTTCTACACTCTTACGTATGCCACTGCTCAATAGCTGCGCATTGTTAAATGAAGCCGATCGACGATGGGTCCGACCCCTTAAAACCTGATCGGTGTTCCAGTACCTACATTGTGTGACACTCCCGACTGAACCCTGTCTTCTTCACAGCTCACCAATGTGGGCATCAATGCATCCAACATCGGCTTCAACATGCTCACGATGGAGTCAGACAAGTTCATCTGCGTGCGGGAGAAGGTGGGCGAGACGGCGCAGGTGGTCATCATCGACATGGCCGACACTGCCAACCCGATCCGACGGCCCATCTCGGCCGACTCGGCCATCATGAACCCCGGCAGCAAGGTCATCGCCCTCAAAGGTCAGTCGTCTGACCCCTCCCTCCGCCGCCGTCGGCAGACTGGCCGGCGCCCGAACTCGCGGCGCTGGACAGTCGGCGACGGCGATAGTAGAGACGGGACGGAGCGGCGGTGTCGACATTTAGATTGGTTTTGTCAGCGGAGGATTTGGGGAGGGGCGCGATCGTCAGAGAAGGGGAGAGATGACAGAGCTGGGCTCGGAGCGTCGCTTTGATGCCGTGTCACGGACAGCAGCAGGATATATGCGGGACTGATCCGCCGGCGGGATGTCGGGTGGGGGGGGGGGGGGGGTCCGCAATGTCATGAAGCTGGTCGGCTGGACGGGGTCATTTAGTCGAGGTCAAGTTAATCGATACGCCGATGACAGCTCTCTGAGCTGGTCCGTCCCAGTGGTGAGATAGTGCAGCCGAGTCGGTAGCCACCGTCCGTCCCAAAACGCAGCAGTCCAATACAGCGGGATGTATGCATTGAATGGTAGGTTTATGTTCCAAGCATTCAGCGTTCAACCCAAATAAAGTGTTCAGGAATGTTCGTGGCATAACAGCAGATCACAACCTTTCATCGGAAGCTCTTCTTACCTCCCCTTTAGTGTGTTTTGCGATATAATTGAAAAGGTTCGTTCAATTTTAAGCAGTCGAAAATATATCCAGGCTCCAGCTCGTATGCTGGAAGTTTTTGATTCGCATACCAAATATCGCTCCCCAGTGCCATGCTCAATGCGTGCTCGGCTGAAATGGCTGGCGTATCGCCCACCCACACATTCCCAGTTGTCCCATTATTACATTCCGTTTCCATGGCGCCTGCCATGATGCTTTTCCGCTAATTTCATTCAGTGATGTTCATAGATCGATTAAAGCCCCTACAACGTGCTCAAGTGTTGCAGAAGCGACATTTGGTGCTTGATAGCACCATTGGCCAAGTTCCGCTATCATCTTTTACCTCCGATGTGTCAATATTTGGCCGAGCACGGTTAAACCTGTCTGGAGCCATGCAGCGACAGGATCACTTATGACTATGAGCACTCGTATGGACGGCACTCGTATGAACGCATCTTCGCAAATATATGGGGGTCAGATACGGCCTTTCCTTTCCGTGATCTGCTATTTGCCTGGTTCTGAGATCCATTCTTTCCCAGCTGCAGTTAGCTGATGCCAATGCTCGATTTCTCCCATTTTTATTATTTCTGTTTATCCCGTTCCCGAGTTGGTATAATCATTTAAAGTTTTAGAACCATTGAAATTGCAATAAATCCCGGCGAATTTCATCCCATCGGGCGCCTCGTGATCCCTGATCTGTAACTGTATTTACACCCCACCCCGCCTCCCCTCCCCAGCGTGACGCACCAGTCTCACCCGTCCACGGGTCGCCCCTCCCCTCCATGGGTCGCCCCTCCCCTCCATGGGTCGCCCCCCCCCCGCCGGCGGGGCCCATTACGGGGCGGACAGCTGGCCGCGGCCCAGGAGGATTTCCGCCGCCCTGCACAGCCGGCGCCATTCGCTGCCCTGCTGCCCTGTACCGCCCTGTGCCTGGCGGGCTCACCCGCGCCGCACTGAGCCCGGCCGGTGGCTGCGGGTCCCCGGCGCCGGACTGATCCGGACCGGCGGCTGTTGGTCCCCGGTTCCCGGCGCGGACAGGAAGGGACGGCTTCCGTCGCGTCACTGTCATCGTCACGGCCCGGGCCGGCACGGCGTGGTCGGCCCCCTGGTCACTCGGATAGAAAATCGATCACCACGCGTGTCGGCGTGATGGGAATTAATCAGAGGCTGCGGGAAACTGCAGAGAGAGTGAGGACAGGCCGCTAAAGCCTTTGGCGTGGCGAAGGAGCAATTTTCAGAAATATGTTTTTCACCAGTTTGATAGACTGTCGAGTTTGAAACGTGGTACGGATTGCTAATGATGCAACGCTGGTGAACGGGATCAATGGTTTGGAGCGATGGTGGTCGATAGCAGTTCTTCGGCGGCTAGCATCTCTTGAAGCCGAAACAGGAAGCTAATTGCCGTGGATGTTCATCATTTTCAATTAAAGTAATTCTTCCTTGTCGAAATAATGCATTGAACAGGCGACAATGAGCGCTTAAGAGTGCCTTTGCTAGACTGAATGTCAAGCGTCTGGTCAAGGAAGTGCGTGTGGTAACTGAAATGATTGAGTCAAAGTTCAACATGCACACATATGACGAGACAGTCCGGCCCGCCTACCGACCTCAGCTTAGGCCGTCTTCTACGGCCGCGGCCGCCGACAGTGCCCATTGGGAATCTGGTTTATCGAGCGCCGAAGCCTTTGAATCTGAGCTTTTGCCACCGAGATTCCAACCCTCGACCACTTGAGCTGCAGACGGGAACAAGCTCATCTCAGAAGCCCATTGCGGCATGGTGCTTCTATAATCGACCAGCACCGTTTGATCATAAGGCTTGCTATTTGTTCAGTTTCAGATTTTAGCGCGTAGTGTAAATTAATAACCGGCTAATGAGTTTTCCGTTTATCGTAGTAGTTGATTTTTGCGTGGCTGTGTAGCTATTGCGTTTTCAGTAACAAATATAATTATACCGAAAATATTAAATATATTCATGACTCCGCCTCCAACGCCCTATGAATTTATTAGATAGCCAATTATAGGCTAGTCGTACTTGAACGTCATTTTGCGACAAGGAAAGAATAATCAACCAGTTGGAATTCGAAGTCTTGTTGGAATGTCGTTTCTTTAGAGGTTCTGCTCCGTTTGCGCGAATTTATTTCATAACGGGTAATGAGGCGAGCTAATGCTACTAAAGCACGCAGTTCAATAGCATATGTCTGGTATCCTGAAAATGTAGTCGCAGTTCTCCGGAGACGGACTACCGTTGTTAGTGTCGTGTCGACACGTCTGTGCCGACGATGCCAAGTGAAATGTCGGCACCGTTGTTAGTGCCGACACATCAGAGCGGTGATGCCTACTGAAATATCGGCGCCGGGTTATCTTATCTGCCAGCAGCTGGCCGGACCCCTCCCCTCTCGGGACGGCCGAGCTTCTGCTGCAACGTGGCCTGTACGGGAGACTATGAGAACCTGGGGAGTAGGGAAGCGCATACATGAACTGGGACTGTGGTGGACCTGTATTGCTCAGCACGACGCTCAGGGTGGGAGCCATTTCCGATGAATATCTGCAATAATGTACTGGTATTGTCCATTGCGTAACTGATTGATCGAACTAGCCGAGTCTTATCATTGGAGGTCGTGTGACGAATTCTATCACGTCATGAAACCTAGCATCGACATCGTACCGTACCCAACTTTATCACCAAGTATAACGGTTTACGGTTATAATGCTTGGCTTTATTTGAACGACCCATCGCTTGAACTGTCATGATCATTGATCACCTCACCAAATATTGTTTTGTAATAGGTATGCTGCAATTATATTCCCCTTTATTCATGCTTTCCATTTTATTACAGCCGGTAAGACGTTGCAAATATTCAACATCGAGATGAAGAGCAAGGTGAAGGCGCACACGATGTCGGAGGAGGTGGTGTTCTGGAAGTGGATCAACATCAACACGGTGGCCATCATCACAGACACCTCCGTCTTCCACTGGAGCATCGATGGTGCGTCCGCAGTCCCTTCAGAGGATAGGCTCCGAATTTCTGGCTGTTTGATTAATTTATTTTGCCGTTTGATGGACGAGGATAGCTGTTTCAAAACCCTTTACGTAACGGTGGGAGCGATAAATGACATCTGCCCGAAATAAATGCATGCGTTTAGCCTACGCTGAATACTGAATAGGGATTTTGATGAACGTTACGGCTTAATCAACGATGGATAATGGTGCTATTTGACGATCGCATCATGCCGTCCACTTTTTCATTGGCTTCCGATATTTCTCCGTTCAATTTATGCGTGCTTTCGTACACAGGCGATTCTCAGCCGCAGAAGATGTTTGACCGGCACTCGACGCTGGCCGGCTGTCAGATCATCAACTACCGCACTGATCACAAGCTCAACTGGCTGCTGCTGGTCGGCATTTCGGCACAGGTGCGTCCAACAGTCCGCTCTGACGGCTGCTGATACCATCCTTTCTGTTTGGTTTCCGACGGGCGCCGTGAAACCCAAATCATCGCCGTGTCCGGTTTCACCCCGGTCTGCTGACTTTTGTCGTGCCACGCCTTGCTTTATCTCTCCCCATCCTCGCGACTCGCCTTGTTTACCGTGTCGTTCCCGTGTCCTAGCCCTGGTACCCTGTCACAGACGTCTGTCCCAGCCCCGATGTGCCCGGCACTGCACGGTATGCCAGGTGTCTGTCGTGTGCCGACTGTCTCAGCAGGCGTAAATGGGCCGATGCTCCGGGTAGGGCGCGTGTATCACACAGGTGGTGGCCCGGACTCATTGACAGTCGCTGCCACGGTAGACGCTCTCGGTGAAAGATACTGTTCGAATGGGTCATAGTGGGAGATTTCTGATTGCTTTTGCACGAATAATACGCATTTGAACGTTTGAAAAGGGTGGACGGTGTTAACCCTCGCACGACCAGGCCATTTCTCATAACACGAACGACCAGGGGGGGGGGGGTTGTTACGACCCCCCCCTGGCGTTTCGAAACGGAAGGTCGTAGAGCTTAGCGGAAAAAACCAACGGATTGCTCTCAACGAGATCTCGCGATTGGTGGTATATTTTTTGGTCCTAGGTCAACATTTGACCTACTTTTGACCGGTCGAAGGTCAAATTTTCGGAAAAATAGACTTTTTTCAACTTTCGGCGGCGATTGCGGCAAAACGGTGAGAAATATCGACTTGAAACCTTCACTATCGTGTTCCTTGATCAATTCTCTATCGTTTGGTATGTATTTCGTTTCGCTAGCTCTAAAAATGGCGCGTTGGGAGCGCCGGAAGTCGGCAAGGTCACAGTCGGCGGCAGAAATTCGAAAAATCAAAATTTAAATTTTTGAAATCTGATTGTATTTTTGGATTTGGGAGGTCCATTTGCTCCCTATAGAAGCTAATATTGCTGCATATTCCCATTGAGGTGACAAGAATTAGCAAAATAGTGGTTCGGGCGCTTTTCAAAAATAGTACCGGACGCTGTTCCTCTTGTGACGTCATAGCTCCGTGACCTGACCTGACCCGGTCAAATTTCTTATACCATATGATAGCCAATACTTGCCCCAACATGCATGGGAAGTTTCATCACGATCCATCAACCGATGTCCGTACCACCGGCAGGAAACCTCGGGCGTTGGCACTCAGTTTGTGAAAATCCGGCCGGAGGCTGTACCTCTTATGACGTCATAACTCCGTGACCTGACATGACCCGATCAATTTTTTTTTCGGCAAAAGATGCGCAAAGGTTGCCCCAGAGGGTATGGAAAATTTCAGCCCGCTACGACAAGCCGTTTAGCGTGCACTTCGAAAAAGCCTCAGGGGGGGGGGGGGGTTGATACAACCCCCCCCCCCCTAGGCGTTCTAGGGTTAATGGTTCTGAAAAAAATCTTCTTTGGATCATTTTTTATGCATCCTCCCATGCATTGTTGCGCTATTCACCTAATATGTCCGTACCGTATGATTTGTAACAGGAAGTCAGCTGAACTATCCGGCCTTGGGTACTCTTCCACGTGACTAACACTTTTCCCTCTGACTGACCGCTCTGGGCTTTGCTCTTCAGCAAAACCGCGTGGTGGGCGCCATGCAGCTGTACTCTGTGGAGCGGAAGGTGAGCCAGCCGATCGAGGGCCACGCGGCCGCCTTCGCCCAGTTTAAGATGGACGGCAACCCGGAGCCGTCCACGCTGTTCTGTTTCGCCGTGCGCAGCGCTACAGGCGGAAAGGTGAGAGAAAGGTCACCGAGGGGTCACCGAGCGGCGGGTCACACGGCCACGGGGACAGGGCTGTTAGCGATGTGTCACCAGGGAGCTGGAAGATGTGTCGGAGTTATTGATTTGTGTGACTGTTCATCGTGTCACTGGGATTTCAGCGCCAAGTAACTGGGAATGTGTCTTTCACGATCTACTGTCACTTTTGTTTTTTTTTTCTTTTCAAGTTACTAATGGATGATGGATATTGGATATTGCTAAAAAAGAACGATAATACAGAGCTTATGTGAAATTCAAATGCAATTAAAACTCACTTGATCGTACAAAACTCATTAGATTTGATGTCTAGTTTCTAAATGTGGTCTGTCTAGGAACATGTCGTCCATGGCTGCTGGATATTACATTTCCCAGTATGGCCGGTCATTTAGAAACTTTCTCAGTCCCGGCCATTTAATGTGAAGTTGAGTTATGGCCGCAACGTTTGCCAATCGGCCGAGTTGGTGACCATTTGGGCGACCATTGTGGTCGAGCGTCCTGACCTTTTATCGAAACGAGCCTGTGGTTCTTCTCATGCAGCTAGAATACGTATCGCTATGTTCCGAGCTGTGCCTTGTTCTGTGTTGTGTGCTTTATTGCGCTATGCCCCTGATCTGTGCCGTGTCATTTACTCTCGTTTGACTGACCTCCCGCGTCCGTCCGCCCTCAGCTGCACATTATCGAGGTGGGCCAGCCGGCGGCCGGTAACCAGCCGTTCACCAAAAAGGCAGTGGACGTGTACTTCCCGGCCGAGGCTGCCAGCGACTTCCCAGTGGCCATGCAGATCAGCCCCAAGTTCGACACCGTCTACCTGGTCACCAAGTACGGCTACATCCACCTGTACGACATCGAGACGGGCACGTGCATCTACATGAACCGCATCAGCAGCGATACCATCTTCGTGACGGCCGCGCACGAGGCGACCAGCGGTATCATCGGCGTCAACAGGAAGGGCCAGGTGCTCTCCGTCAGCGTCGACGAGGAGAACATCATCCCGTACATCAACAACGTGCTGCAGAACCCCGAGCTGGCGCTGCGCATCTCGGTGCGCAACAACCTGGCCGGCGCCGAGGACCTGTTCGTCAGGAAGTTCAACAACCTCTTCCAAGCCGGACAGTACGCCGAGGCGGCCAAGGTACGTCTGTTGAAGGGGTGATTTGTTTTATCAGTACTGGCCAGGGCTTTAAGCTACGAATATTGTGAAATTGCTACGGCGTTGCATTCTTTGTGATCATTGAAACATATGCTGCTCACACTGGTCAATAATTTTGCATTGTCATTGTTCGGTTCTTGTGGTAGGGAACAAGCGATTCAGTCAGGAAAATGAATGGACTCTGGCACTCGGACATAGTTTCCTGCTTTGTTCTGGCTATACTTTTCCTGTAATTGAGGTAATTTCGCCTGTACCAATCGACTGTTACCCACCGTAGCAACTTATGACCTTCTACCATTCACGTTTGATGCCATTGCTACTATCGCCCCTGTTGCTAAAGCCGCGCTCTCGGTTCTCAGGTGGCGGCCAACGCGCCCAAGGGCATCCTGCGCACGCGAGAGACGATTCAGCGGTTCCAGCAGGTGCCCACCCAGCCGGGCCAGTCGTCCCCGCTGCTGCAGTACTTCGGCATCCTGCTGGACCAGGGCCAGCTGAACAAGTTCGAGTCGCTCGAGCTGTGCCGACCCGTGCTCCAGCAGGGCCGCAAACAGCTCATCGAGAAGTGGCTCAAGGAGGAGAAGCTCGAGTGTACCGAGGAGCTAGGTGATCTGGTGAAGCAGGCCGATCCCACGATGGCTCTGTCCATCTACCTGCGTGCTAACGTGCCCAACAAGGTGATCCAGTGCTTCGCCGAGACGGGCCAGTACCAGAAGATCGTGCTCTACGCCAAGAAGGTGGGCTACACGCCCGATTACGTGTTCCTCCTGCGTAACGTGATGCGCGTGAACCCGGACCAGGGCGCGGCGTTCGCGCAGATGCTGGTCCAGGACGACGAACCGCTGGCTGACATCAACCAGATCGTGGACGTCTTCATGGAGCAGAACATGGTGCAGCAGTGCACAGCCTTCCTGCTGGACGCGCTGAAGAACAACCGGCCGGCCGAGGGGCCACTGCAGACCCGCCTGCTCGAGATGAACCTGATGTCGGCACCCCAGGTGGCCGACGCTATCCTCGGCAACCAGATGTTCACCCACTACGACCGGCCGCACATCGCCCAGCTCTGCGAGAAGGCCGGCCTGCTGCAGCGCGCGCTCGAGCACTACACCGATCTGTACGACATCAAGCGCGCCGTGGTGCACACGCACATGCTGAACCCCGAGTGGCTGGTCAACTTCTTTGGCACGCTGTCGGTCGAGGACTCTCTGGAGTGTCTGAAGGCGATGCTGCAGGCCAACATCAGACAGAATCTGCAGATCGGCGTACAGATCGCCACCAAGTACTATGAGCAGCTGGGAACCACGCAGCTGATGGACCTGTTCGAGTCGTTCAAGTCCTACGAGGGACTCTTCTACTTCCTCGGCTCCATCGTCAACTTCAGCCAGGAGCCCGAGGTGCACTTCAAGTACATCCAGGTACGTGTCTATGAAACTGGTGTAGTTAAGATTTGTTTTCCGTCTCTGAGGCTGCACAAATATAATGAAATATGAATAGGTGTTTTATGTCGTAAGTGATGCATGGGGGCTTGCTTCCTCGCATCATGCTCTCAATGGCTGATGCTCTCAATGTCTGATTATTATACTTTTCTTCGCAGGCCGCGTGTAAGACCGGTCAGATCAAGGAGGTGGAGCGGATCTGCCGCGAGTCCAACTGCTACAACCCGGAGCGGGTGAAGAACTTCCTGAAGGAGGCCAAGCTGACCGATCAGCTGCCGCTCATCATCGTCTGCGACCGCTTCGACTTCGTGCACGACCTTGTGCTCTACCTGTACAGAAACAACCTCCAGAAGTACATCGAAATCTACGTACAGAAGGTGAGACCGTCGAGTTTGTTGTTCGAGGCGCAGTGGGTTAACGTTGGGCTGCTTTGACGATTGAGTTAACGTAGCCTCCAACTGACCATGTCTCTATTGTGTGCCCAAGCTGCATGTGAACCTGCTCCATTTGTTTGGCTTTCAACTGATCGTATTATATCCCTGTCAGGTGAACCCGTCCCGCCTACCGGTGGTGGTGGGCGGCCTGCTGACTGTTTGTGACTCTCCTCCAGGTGAACCCGTCCCGCCTGCCGGTGGTGATGGGCGGCCTGCTGACTGTATTTTCTCCTCTCCAGGTGAACCCGTCCCGCCTCCCGGTGGTGGTGGGCGGCCTGCTGGACGTCGACTGCTCGGAGGACATCATCAAGTCGCTCATCATCGTGGTGCGCGGCCAGTTCTCCACGGACGAGCTCGTCGAGGAGGTGGAGAAGCGTAACCGGCTGAAGCTGCTGCTGCCCTGGCTGGAGAACCGCGTGCACGAGGGCGTACAGGAGCCGGCCACGCACAACGCGCTGGCCAAAATCTACATCGACGCCAACAACAACCCCGAGCGATTCCTCAAGTGAGTGATGAATGGGTGGAACAGAAAGCTAAAATCGTACAATGACCTTAGTCATTGTTCGTGGAAGGATATTTTGTTTTGCTTGACCACTGAGCTGAGATATTACCTCGTCCTTGTGTACTAAATTGCAGTTGGTTAGCCATCGTTTGATTGTCGTCGTGTTTCCTCAGGGAGAACCAGTTCTACGACAGCCTCGTGGTGGGCAAGTACTGCGAGAAGCGAGACCCGCACCTGGCGTGCGTGGCCTACGAGCGCGGCCAGTGCGACCGAGAGCTGGTGGCACACTGCAACGAGAACTCGCTGTTCAAGGCCGAGGCGCGGTACCTGGTCCGACGCAGGAACATGGAGCTCTGGGCTGAGGTGAGAATGGGGGATGGTGAGAGGTAGGTAAGAGACTGGAGGAGCGGTCGGGAAGATGTCAAATGCAACGTTACAGGCAATGTGACATTGAGAGCATCGGACGAGTTAGAGAGTGTTAGTATCGGACGAGTTAGAGGATGGAAAGACGAGATATTACCGGCAGTGTTGCAGCCATGTGTAGCATGACTGGCTGGGAAGGAATTCGTAGCACTCAATCCATTTATCATTGACCGAGATGACGGGATAGTTCAGTGTGTGATCGTAGATAGCAAGCTATCTTAGCCCATAACGTAGATTGACGAAAATGAACGAGCTGGTACGCCTTGCTAGACAGTGCATCGGCTCCCGTTTGGTTTATGTAGCCTACAAATGGATTCCGAGGTGACGAATTTGCAGCGAGATAGTGCATTGTGATAGTTGGAGCCGCTTTATCGGATATTTACAGAGGACTCGCTATCCCCGCGCTGACCATTGAGCCTCGGTCTGGGTGCGTTGGAATGTTTGCGTAACCCGATACCGCGCCCGGCGCCCTGTGAATGACACTGGCTGGCTTTGTGTTACCCGTGTCTGGGGTTACAGTACCAGATACCCCCGGCACGTGCCGGCGGCGATTACTGTATAATGTAGTCGGCGCTTATGGCAGCGGATTCTGCCCCAAAAGGCATTTAGTTATCATACCTATTATACAAGGATAGCATCGCCGAGTCCCTTACATATCATGCTGAATGTAATGTATCTGACTGTGATTGATGTCACAGTGAATGGATAGGATTGGGCTATTATTATTTAGCTTTTCTAGTCCCCAATGGGGAATCCCTGAAACAGGCAAAATCACTCCAATGGGAGTATATCATAGGTTAACATGTTAAAACAAACAGGCGTACATTTTTGTACCGAGACTAGCAACTCCCCGAATCACTAACTGTATCATTCATGGCTGCAACTGGGCCTCGCTGACGCTCCATCTGCCGCCGCCCGGGGTCCCCTCCTCCCTGGGATGATGTGACCCAGAGTACGTACGTGTATCTAACGATCCCTCGGCGGCCGCCCGGCCGGTTCCCCACCTCCGTCCCCCAGGTGCTCCAGGAGGACAACCCGTACCGTCGCCAGCTGATGGACCAGGTGGTGCAGACTGCGCTCAGCGAGACACAGGACCCCGAGGACATCTCCGTCACCGTCAAGGCCTTCATGACGGCCGACCTGCCCAACGAGCTCATAGAACTCCTCGAGAAGATTGTGCTGGACAACTCTGTGTTCAGCAGCCACCGCAACCTGCAGAACCTGCTCATCCTGACGGCCATCAAGGCGGACCGCAGCCGCGTCATGGAGTACATCAACCGGCTGGACAACTACGACGCCCCCGACATCGCCAACATCGCCATCACCAACGAGCTCTACGAGGAGGCCTTCGCCATCTTCAAAAAGTTCGACGTCAACTCGTCGGCGGTACAGGTGAGCCACCTTGAACGTCTTATGATGCGGATACGCTACACTCAGTAAGCTGCGCTTGTGTCTGGCGTGAAGTGAAATCCTATATAACTTCTTGTGAAACGTTAAGAAGCTGCATAGATATTCGCCAGACCTTTCAATGCCACGAAAACGAAAGGGTTTACTGACTTATGTGATAGCCTTTTCCTTGCGTTTTTTTTTGCGACATTTCACGTCAGCGTCAACATTCATCACTATTTTGTCGCTGGTTGATATCCAGTGTATTTTTGCGCCCTCCTCAATATGGTGCAGCAGCCTATCTCACTGTCTCCTTGCTGACCTCTGCGCCTGTCACCTTTCAGGTGCTGATCGAGAACGTCAACAATCTGGACCGTGCGTATGAGTTCGCCGAGCGGTGCAACGAGCCGGCCGTCTGGTCTCAGCTGGCCAAGGCGCAGCTGGGCCGCGACATGATGAAGGAGGCCATCGACTCGTTCATCAAGGCCGACGACCCGACCGCCTACCTGGAGGTGGTGGCCGCCGCCCACCGGCTCGACACCTGGGAGGAGCTCGTGCGCTACCTGCAGATGGCGCGCAAAAAGTCGCGCGAGTCGTTCATCGAGTCGGAGCTGATCTACGCGTACGCCAAGACCAACCGGCTGGCCGACCTGGAGGAGTTCATCGCGCAGCCGAACCACGCTGATATTCAGAAGGTAAACACTGACTTGAGACGCCAGTCGAGGTATTTGCCTTGTACGAGTCTGTAGTTATAATTTGCTGCGGATGGGATTCGGATAACATGGTCCTGTGTTGGTGCTTATTTACCGCCCTCTCTTGACCTGATTCATGATTGTAATACGTTTTTGGTTTTGGTCTATGAAAATTAAAGCGGTATCTGAAAGCAGTCGACTTTCATATTGTTGGAAGCAGGGTTGTGCTTGACTCATGAGTCGAGTCAGAGATTTGACTCAACTCTGACTCAAATGAGTCAAGTCTGAGTCGAGTCGGATAAAATGTTGAGCTGTTGAGTTGAGTCAGAGTTGAGTCAGACAAAAATATTAAGGTGATGAGTTGAGTCAGAGTTGAGTCAGTAAAATAACTTGACATTGAGTTGAGTCAAAAACATTTAGGAACCTGAGTCAGCTAACTCATCTTTCTAGAAACAATATATATAAGCATTTCTTTCTCCCCCGCTTAACAACTTAGGCCTGGCCCTGCTACCGGATTTTTTTCACCCCCCCCCCCCGCTCAACAACTTTTTTATCTGAGTCAATTTTGAGTCAACACACTTGACTCAACAAAAAATTTGAGTCAAGTTTGAGTCAACTCATATTTTCATTGAGCCGCTTGAGTCATGAGTCGAGTCAAGGAAAAAATCAGCTCCTTGTTTGAGTCAGAGTTGAGTCAGGGCTTTCTGAAGTTGAATGATGAGTCGAGTCGGTAAATTTTTTTGAGTCGAGCACAACCCTGGTTGGAAGTAGATGCATGTGGCCTGTATGACAAAAAAAAAGACCAAGGTGGAATAAATGTGACTCGTTCCTGTCTCGTTCTCCAGATTGGCGACCGTTGTTTCGACGATGGCATGTTCGAGGCGGCCAAGCTGCTCTACAACAACGTGTCCAACTTCGCCCGGCTGGCCATCACGCTGGTCAACCTCAAGGAGTTCCAGGGCGCCGTCGACAGCGCCAGGAAGGCCAACAGGTCCGTCCTCAGCTCTGCGGGAAGTGTCATGGTGTAGTTTTATTTCTCTTTGGGCGATAATGTGGATGAGATGAGCTGGTAGGCTCGATGTAGTTTGGTCAAAAATGTAAATGAGTGACGTTATAGCTATAAATGGCATAACTTTCTGATTACACTACCCTCTAGTCTAGTGAGTTCAGCAGCTCCTTTGACGCTGTGCTGCTCGAAATGCGGTGCTCGAGTGGAAAGGCTTGCCGCTAGGCTCATTGCTGACGCTCCTGTGTGCCCCGTTTCAGCACGCGCACCTGGAAGGAGGTGTGTTTCGCATGCGTCAGCTCTGAGGAGTTCCGGCTGGCGCAGATGTGCGGCCTGCACATCGTGGTGCACGCCGACGAGCTGGAGGACCTCATCAACTTCTACCAGGAGCGCGGCTACTTCGAGGAGCTCATCAGCCTGCTGGAGGCGGCGCTGGGCCTGGAGCGCGCCCACATGGGCATGTTTACCGAGCTGGCCATCCTCTACTCCAAGTACAAGCCGGAGAAGATGAGGGAGCACCTGGAGCTGTTCTGGTCGCGGCTCAACATCCCCAAGGTGCTGCGTGCCGCCGAGCAGGCCCACCTCTGGTCCGAGCTGGTGTTCCTGTACGACAAGTACGAGGAGTACGATAACGCCGTGCTGACCATGATCGCACACCCGACGGCCGCCTGGCGCGAGTCGCACTTCAAGGACATCATCACCAAGGTGGCCAACATCGAGCTCTACTACCGCGCCATCAACTTCTACCTCGACTTCAAGCCGATGCTGCTGAACGACCTGCTGCTGGTGCTGTCGCCGCGCATGGACCACACCCGCTCCGTCGCCTTCTTCCGCAAGAACGGCCACCTGAAGCTGGTGAAGCCGTACCTGCGCTCGGTGCAGTCGCTGAATAACAAGGCCATCAACGAGGCGCTCAACAGCCTGTTGGTGGAGGAGGACGACTTTGCCGGCCTGCGCGCCTCCATCGACGCGTTCGACAACTTCGACAACATCTCTCTGGCGCAGCAGATGGAGAAGCATGATCTGATCGAGTTCCGCCGCATCGCCGGCTACCTCTACAAGGGCAACAACCGCTGGAAGCAGAGCATAGAGCTCTGCAAAAAGGACAAACTTTACAAGGTGAGCTTGATATTGATGGGTAAGCGCGTCGACATGAAGTAGGATGCGAAGTATTCGAAATCACTGGAGTTTAAATAGAAATGGAATTAATCATGAATTTCCCCGTATTTACACATCTTCATGTCTTAGTTCATGTGATGAACAGCTGTATCTGGAAGGGAACAGTTTCATATAAGGGCCGTTCAGTTACGTAATCCAATAGCCAGCTTTCCGACTGATCGTTGCAGATGACATCATTTGACAGTGTCACCCTGTCTGTGACCCCGCTCCGCCTCTGACCGCTTCTCTCGTCTCCTTCGCCAGGACGCCGTCGAGTACGCGGCCGAGTCGAAACGTCCCGAGATGGCCGCCGAGCTGCTGGATTGGTTCTTGGAGCAGCGCAACTTCGACTGCTTCGGCGCGTGCCTCTTCCAGTGCTACGACCTGCTCGAGCCCGATGTGGTGCTCGAGCTGGCCTGGCGCAATAACATCATGGACGTGGCCATGCCGTACATGGTGCAGATCCTCAAGGAGTACACTGGCAGGGTGAGCGAACGGGGAGATGGAACGTGAAGGATAGACTGACAAGGTAGACGTACGGTGTATCGTATCCAGGGTTGTGCTCGACTCAAAAAAATTTGCCGACTCGACTCATCATTCAACTTCAGAAAGCCCTGACTCAACTCTGACTCAAACAAGGAGCTGATTTTTTCCCTTGACTCGACTCATGACTCAAGCGGTTCAATGAAAATATGAGTCGACTCAAACTTGACTCAAATTTTTTGTTGAGTCAAGTAAGTTGACTCAAAATTGACTCAGATAAAAAAGTTGTTGAGCGGGGCGGGGGTGAAAAAAATTCCGGCATCAGGGCCAGGGCAAAGTTGTTAAGCGGGGTGTGGGGATGAAAAGCTTGTTTCTAGAAAGTTGAGTCAGCTGACTCATTGTTTGACTCAACTCGATGTCAAAATTATTTTACTGACTCAACTCTGACTCAACTCAACGCCTTAATGTTTTTGTCCGACTCAACTCTGACTCAACTCAACAGCTCAACATTTTATCCGACTCGACTCAATTCTGACTCATTTGAGTCAGAGTTGAGTCAAATTTCTGACTCGACTCATGAGTCAAGCACAACCCTGATCGTATCGTCTTCAAGTGGGACAAAGATGGCTTGTGCAGAAGACGCGATAAATCTGGCAGGAAAATGAAGTAAATTAACTTATCCAATGAATCAAATTAATCGCCTCTACACTTACACACGAGTGAGTGAGCCCCTAGGTGCGGGCACCATCAGCTCGCACGCCTCTCACCCAAGGTTAACATTTTGCCTTTTGTGTCCGCAGATCAAGAAGCTGGAGGAGGCGGAGATCAACCGTGCCGAGGAAGAGAGCACAACCGGCGAACAAAAGATGATGATGCGTGAGTACCAATTTTTCCGATGTCGCGGGGTTGAAAGGGGTGGGAGGGTGTTTGGCTTTGGGGCGGCAGAGATATAGGTGGAACGGTGAACGCTGTTATTGCTCCAGAAAGGAAATACAGGAACATCTGTTCAAGAATCAGAATTTACATTCAGCAGTTTGTAATAGGTTATCAGCTGTGAGTGGAATGGAGGAATTATGACGCGGGCTGGGCTTACGCTGTTTTTTTTCCTTGAATAAGTAAGAGGGTTGAACTTGGAACTCATCGCCTTAGAGCTTGTTACGCTTGTCTAGTGGATGTTTTTGTAGAAGAGATATCGCCTGGCGCCCTGGTTAGTTGGTTATAATTTCGCAGCTCTTAGTTTCGCCCGGCTTGACTGCAGTCCGACCTTTGACGCTCTCTGAAAGCCTGGACGCCGTAGACGTCTGCCTCTGTGTGTGTGTTAGTGTGTGTGTGTGTGTGCGTGTGTGGTGTGTGACGCGAGCCGCGTGCGTGGTGTGTGACGCGCGGCGCGCGTGGCGGTGTGTTTGGTGTCTGCAGCGGCCGACAGCCCGCTGATGCTCACGGCTGGCCCACCCGGCTACCCGAGTTACTCGGCCTAGCGTCACCGCCCGCCGCGGCGGCCCCGTTCGCCGCCTTTCCGGTAATGGCTGCCCCCGGGACGGCCGGCCAGACTTGCCGCGCTATCCCTGTCCGCTCCGACCGACTGCACTGACCGCGCCCCGGAGTGGGTCTGCCCCGGCCCGGCCAGGCTTGCCGCTCCTCTGTCCCGTCCGCCCCGAACGCACTGATTGCCCTCCCCCGCCGGCCGGACTTACCACTCTGTCCCTGTCCGCTCCGACCGCACTGATTGCCCTCCCCCGTCAGACAGACTTGCCACTCTGTCCCTGTCCGCTCCGACCGCACTGATTGCCCTCCCCCGTCAGACAGACTTGCCACTCTGTCCCTGTCCGCTCCGACCGACCGCACTGATTGCCCTCCCCCGTCAGACAGACTTGCCACTCTGTCCCTGTCCGCTCCGACCGCACTGATTGCCCTCCCCCGTCAGACAGACTTGCCACTCTGTCCCTGTCCGCTCCGACCGCACTGATTGCCCTCCCCCGTCAGACAGACTTGCCACTCTGTCCCTGTCCGCTCCGACCGCACTGATTGCCCTCCCCCGTCAGACAGACTTGCCACTCTGTCCCTGTCCGCTCCGACCGCACGCTCCTACCGCACTGACTGCCCCGGAGTTGGCCTTCCTAGTCCATAATTACAAACAGCATGGGCCCGTCTGATCCACTTGGCTCAGGGAGAGTATAGACTCCAATGCATATGCTTTCGATTTCCGATTTGGAACGATGGCGGCTATAGTTTCCTCGTTGACTGGCTCAGTTCACTCAGGCTGCGGTGCATTGCAAGTAGCACAGCATTTTGCTTTTGAGAGATTCTCCAGGACTCGAATGTGACTCGGTCTCGAATGTGGTGTCTCGAATGTGACAAATTTCAAACATTTGTTCGTAGTTAATACTTTGAGGCTGGCGATCATAATTCTTCCTTCTCCATTCTTTGCATGTTCAAATATGTCATACCGCACAGATATGTTGAATAGTCGCTGCACAAACGGAGGACTTTTCTGTAATATCTACTTCAACTGAGCTTTCTTCTGAGTGGTTTGACGCCAATAACATAATCCCACGCCTTTGCTGTCCTTTGTCAATAGTTTTCAGCTTGTTGGAGTAGTTTCGAGTTTTGCTTCTCACAAGGCTAAATCGACTGTTTTCAGTTACTGAAACGTTGAAATGTTTCGTTATTGGAGCTTTGAATTCCCCGCAGGGGGCTGACCGTGGTCAGAGCCGTTGCTTGGCCGGGACCATTGGGCTCTGGCCTCGCGGCGGCTGTGACTTCGGCCAGTAAGGGGAGTAGCGCCCCCTCGGCCCCAGCTTGACTTGCGTTCGACCTCGGCTCTGATTTGATTGTCGGATGGATTTTCTGCAAGATTGGCCCCGCAGGGGGCTGGCGGTGGCCTGGGTTCCTTGGGCCCGCGTCCTGCGGCGGCCCTGACCTCCGCCAGCAAGGGGAGTAGCGCCCCCTCGGCCCCAGCTTGACTCATGCTCGATTACAACCGGACTCGACCCTGGATTGATAGACGACAAGTCAGACCTTTCTTGGTTTCTTTTTTCCCTTTGTTTCTGATGAGTGTCTTTTTTGCGCCCGGTTCCGCTCCTTCCGGGTGTTTCTTCTCACTGCCAGCTTATACTGCCTTGCCGTCTTCTCACGTGGTTTGCACTAAGTTTTTGCACTTGTCTGTTGCCCAGCTTTCTTGCGAGCATTTTCATTGGTTGCCTTTTCTGCATTCTCACGCACCGCACGGACACACTCGGGTGAAGTGGAATAGCGCCCCCCCCCCCTCAGCCCTAGATACACATATGTGTGATCTTGACTTTGCCCACATTTGCTGGATTTGATGTTTGCACAATGCCATTGCCAGTCGGCCGCGTTGCCGTCTTCTCACGCGAATTTCTCCTGGCTGGTTTGCACTCATTTGGTTGCCTACCTCATCGGTTTCGCACGCTTCCCAGTTTTTTTTTTTTTTTTTAACACTTGCTCATCTTCTCTGTGCACGATTCCATTGCATAATGCGATTCCAGTCTCTAATCGTGCCATCTTCTCACGTGAATTGCTCTTGGTCGTCTTGTACCCGTTTGTTGCCCATATTTCTTTTGCGGTCACTGGCATTGGCTGCGTTTTCAGTCTTCTTGCGCTGTACCGGTCTTGCAGGCTGCTTGCCTCACCGGTTCCGCACGTTTCCCCAGTTTTTTTTTTTTACACTTGCTTATCTTCCTTGTGCACGATTCCATTGCCAGTTTGCTGCATTGCACTCTTTTCACGTGAATTGCTCTTGGTTGTTTTGTACCTGTCTGTTGCCTTTTTTGCGGATACTCGCGTTGATTGCCATATGTGTGATCTTGACTTTGCCCACATTTGCTGGATTTGATGTTTGCCCAATGCCATTGCCAGTCGGCCGCGTTGCCGTCTTCTCACCTGGCTGGTTTGCACTCATTTGGTTGCTTACCTCATCGGTTTCGCACGCTTCCCAGTTTTTTTTTTTAACACTTGCTCATCTTCTCTGTGCACGATTCCATTGCATAATGCGATTCCAGTCTCTAATCGTGCCATCTTCTCACGTGAATTGCTCTTGGTCGTCTTGTACCCGTTTGTTGCCCATATTTCTTTTGCGGTCACTGGCATTGGCTGCGTTTTCAGTCTTCTTGCGCTGTACCGGTCTTGCAGGCTGCTTGCCTCACCGGTTCCGCACGCTTCCCCAGTTTTTTTTGTTGTTTTTTTACACTTGCTCATCTTCCTTGTGCACGATTCCATTGCCAGTTTGCTGCATTGCACTCTTTTCACGTGAATTGCTCTTGGTTGTTTTGTACCTGTCTGTTGCCTTTTTTGCGGATACTCGCGTTGATTGCGTTTTCAGTTTTCCTACGCTGTACCGGTCTTGCAGGCTGCTTGCCTCATCGGTTTCGAACGCTCCCCCATTTTTTTTTTTGCACTCGCTCATCTTCTTTGTTCTCTGGTTCCCCTGGTTTTATCGGTCTAGCCGTACCTTCGGCCCAAAGACCGGGGAGAGGATGTCTGGGCGTTGAGGGGGCTGCCCTGCGGGTTAGTCGGGGCAGCCTTCCAACACATGCCTTTGGCGCCAATCCCCGGATCTGCGGGATGCCCCATGTTGGCCTCGCATGAGGGAAATCGGCCGGTCAGGCGTCGCCCTGTGCGGCACTGGCTAATCGGGGTCAAGGGGGCTGGGCGACGGGTATGCGGGGGGTTGCCGCCGGGTGCAGGGGCCGCCTGATTCCTTCAGCGCGGGGCTTAGCGCCACCGTATCCATGTCCGCGCGCGGGATCAGGTCCGGTCCCGTGCCGCATGGCTCTGCGGCGGCCGCGGCTCACGCGGCCCCGTACCCGGCGGCTTCGTCTTGCTGCTTTTGGCGTCCCGGCCCCCGTATAGTCCTGCAGTACTCCTGGCGGACCACCACCCTACGGGGGAGTGTGGCCGTCCCCCAGTTGGGCTCCGAGGTGGGTGGGAGGCTGCGGGACCGAAACAATTACACTTTCCATGGATTCTCACTTGGCACCCCCACGGACCACAGCCTCGGCTGAACCCCTTGCACCTAGTGCAGTCGATGGAGCACGACCAAAAGTTCTTATATTCACATCCGACGAACGAAAACTCGCGTCGCTGTCTCCCTTTCAGAGACGAGAGGGCTGTGACAGATTTGGTAAGATTGCGAGGTGTGAAAAACTTAGAGACGGAGGCATCGAAGTAGAGTTTGTTGACGATAGAGAGGCGGAAAGGGCCCTGAAAGCTACTCACTTCACATACACAGTTAAGGATCAGCAGGGCAGGAAGGAAGTAAACCTTTCGGTCAGCGTTTCGCCGCATCGCACGAAAAATTCCAGCCGAGGGGTCATTTTTTGCGACGATCTGGAGGGCATGCAAAACGACGAGATCGCCGAAGGCCTGTCACAGTTTGGGGTCTCCGCCGCCCGCCGCATCTACACCAAGAGAAGTGGCGCTCTCGCACCCACGCACAGTATCATTCTGACTTTCAACTCGCTGGAACTGCCGAGGGAGGTGATGATAGGATATCTGTCCGTGAAAGTTCGACCATATGTCCCGAGTCCCATGCGTTGTTTTCAGTGTCTTCGATTCGGTCACACTCGAGACAGCTGTCGGAACAGACCGGCATGCGGGAGATGTGCGGCAACTGATCACAGCAGCGCCGAGTGCTCGTCGTCTGAGTTGAGATGCGTCAATTGTGACGACTCTCAGACTCCACATTCCTCGTTTGATGGGCGATGCCCGGCCTTCCAGAGAGAAAAAGAAATAATGTCCCTGAAGGTCACCGAAAGGCTGTCATTTCGTCAGGCCCGAGACCGCTATGCTGCCCTCCATCCCAAGCGGTCTTATGCTAGTGTGGCCAACGGTTCTAGACAGCGCTGCCCCACTGAAAC